TATGAATATCTGCTGAAGAGGTTGAAGTACACTCAAATCTGTACTGAGAAAAATTAGAGAGGATTCATCTTTTTCATATAGAAATATCTGATCAACGATAGAACAAGATCCATTTTGCATCCTATCTAACTGATTCCTTGGTTCGGACCGAAGAAGTAATGTCACTCGATTATTATCAAACTGACTGCAAGATTTTTCTGTCCGTGAGGATCCCGCCAGAGCCAGAGCGCCTTCTACTTCTAATATTCAAAATAGTAAGAGGCCATGAACTAGATCAGAATCATTTATCGATTATTTGTCGACTGCCTTTGTTGTTGATTCTACCCCCCAGTCAGAGCACCCTCATCTCGCGCTGGTGGATTCTGGATGAATTATCGGAGATATCCTTATCGGATCAGTCTCTCAATTTCTTCCTTGAGCTGCCTGCATGCTTCGGTAGTATGCCACTTCATGCTCTCCTTGTCTCGGATGGCCATCAACACATTTGTTTGAGATACATTAAGTGGTGTGTACTCCTTCTCTTGGCGAGGCTCTCGCGAAGCTGTGAGGGCCGAGGGGGAAGATTATGTTCAACTGCTATTAAAAATAATTTTGTCTGATGGATCAATTAGTATTAATCATAATTGTTGAACCTAATGCCTACATTGCGTTTGCGGGTAAAAGAGTAACATTGAAAAAGACAGTACCTGACGGTTCACAAGTGACTGAGTCTTTATTCCATAAGGGCGACCCAATTATACCACATAATCTGGTGTTCTGAATGAGTTATTTCAGCTACATGGTTTCCTTCCCTTGAATCAAGATTAAAAAAAGATTTTAAAAAAGATTGAAATTCTTCATTTTCAAATGGAAGTATAGCACTAGCTTCAGTTATTTTTCTTTGTAGCGAATAAGCATTTAGTTCATTCTAATGAAAAAAACAAAACTAAGAAGATGGTGTTTTCTTTGGGTACATCAGTTATAAGTGTAGTAAGAGTCAAAAGTTTTGGATAATGACTTTTTTGCCCCGGATCCTTTTTTTATTCTACCTTTGGCTTATGATGTTATAATGTTCAGAAATAAGTAGATTCCAATGCTCAAAGCTTAGTAGTAGAGTGTAACGGAAAGTGAGGCTACTTGGGAGGAGTTCATGATGAGAAAGTTGTATCTCAATCTTCCTGAGATCTGAGTTTTAAAATGTTAAGGATAATATTTTTTGAGGGGAGAGTTATAACACCTCCAAATTAAATATTCAAGTCAAGCTATTTTGACTCAATATGTAAAAGGTAAATATGTTAAATTTCAATATTTGAACATTTATGCATGTCTTAAAATATGCGAGAGTTTACAGGTGTTTTGAAGTGGGCCATGGAAGACTGTTTTCCTATTTGAAAAATATGAAAATTTTTCCCTAAGGGGATCCATTGCACTTGGTTCAGTGGTGCCGAGGCACCAATGTTCCCGGGGTTTTCAACGCTTCGATGCGAGGAAGCACTGCCGATTCCTGTAGGGTGGCGCCGTGGGGTACTATGATGCCAAAGCAAATTTTTATTATTTAAAATATCCTAATGTACTATTCCATTTCATTTGATTTATTTGGGCAATCGGTGCTAGTGAGTGAGAGAAAAGGATTCTAGTAAGAGAAAGTCTATTTCAGGCGACTTTGGTTCATTTTCATTTGATGACCCAATTCCAAAATTTGTTTGAATCTAGGTATGTCATCGTTTGCTTATCTCTTTTTTTAACAAATATGAAGATTTTTTGAATTTTTTTAATTAAATTTATATTTCTGTAACAAAAAATAAAGATAACTTAGTAATTGACTATGGATTTTCGTATTGCATAGACTCATTGAATATTGACTGATATGGATTTGATTGACTGACATGCATATTGATAGCATCGCCGTGCTTTGATTTCAGTTATAGGTATTAGGTGACCTGCTGGGCTTTGTAAAGCTCATTATATGTGGTTAACAATTTCAGGTCCGAGCAAGGGAGCAGGAATGGATTTATTGATCGAGACTGTCGACGAATCCTTTCACTATGGATGCCTGGGGCGTCACAACCAAAACTAAGCAAAACTCTATACAATTCTAACCGGGTTTTTAGGACTGAAAAATTATCCACTCAACTATGATCTTTTTTACCATACCTTGCAAAGTTAACAATCTTTTATAAAGCCACTGTATGTGAAGACAGTTGGATCCAACAGAGAGCTAAGTGCTTTAGCTATCTACGGGAGAAGATGATCTCAACTTTCACTATCATAAGAGTAATAGCTGGAGAAATCATAACTATATTAGAAAGTTGTCTACTAAGTCTACTATTATTAACTCTTATGATGACATTATTGGAGAAGCTAATCTCATTTCTTCAAGCTTTTAACAAGGAATATATGAATCAAAGTCATATTAGACTCCTTTCGTACCACGCTTTCAACTAATGGCCAATTTGAACTTACGTCTTCCTTTTTATGAAGATATTAAACTAGCTCTCTTTGATATTGGGAATGACAATACTCATGGACTTGATGGTTTCACATCGTAAATCATTAATGATACATAGTTTATTAATGGGAGTACTCTTATTGAGGTTGTAAATTTTTTAGTTTTTCAAACTCCCTGAATGGGTGAAAAACTCAATCATTACTCTCATTAAAAAAATCAAACATAATGCATAAATGATTGCAATCAATTTTATTTTTATAATAACTCTTACAAGCTTAATGTGAAGCTAATTGCCAATAGGCTAAAGCCTTACCTCCCAAAACTTAATCACCTTGTCCAATCGACATTTACTTTTGGAGAAATTTTTCTTGTAATGACATCCTTGTTAATGAGCACATCTAAATTCTTTTATGCCAAAATTAATCTATGAAAAGCCTTTGATAATGTGAACCATCAATATAGACCCTTAATTTGGGATTTTCTTCTACTTTTGTTAATTGGATTAGTTAGTGTACTTCAAACATCCATTTCTCTATGGTGATAAATACGGTGTTGAAGGGCTGCTTCAACTCTAAAAATTGTCCAAGGTAGGGATGTCCATTATCCCATTTTCTATTTACATTTACTATTGAAGATTCTCCAAATTGATTGAGAGAAGTAGGCTTGATGCCTCTTTTTATTGCATAAAAAGGAACTTCTTGATCTCTCGTCTTATATATGCTGATGACTTATTGGTCTTTGATATGGTTGAGGATTTTGCTATCACCTCTCTTAAGTCCATTCTGACTCATTTTAGGAATAACACTAGACTTATTATAAACATGAATACATATTAACTTTCCTTCTCTAAGTTAGCGACTCCCCAATTGCAAGACCATATAAGTAATCTTCTTGGCTTTGGTTGACTTACACTAACTTGGCATTACCTTGGTATTCCCCTTACTTCATGACAACCCAAGACCAATAATTATTCTAAAATTATGAAAAGGCTTCATTCTTGGCTTTGTAGGTAGAACAAGAATATGCTTTCTTTTCTCACAAGTCTCAATTTAATAGATCCAAAATTTGAAACAATCTCTATTAATCGTTTTAGTCTGTCTCTATTCACAATAAGCTTAGAAAGAAAATAACTAGCTTTAAAAATAATTTCTTGCACTGTAAAGGAGTTTATAATAAATTACATACCATTTCTTAGAAATTCACTTCTCTTCTTAGGTATTATTGTGGCTTGGCTTGCCTTCACTTGACACTCTATAAACTTTGAGCTAATCTAAAATCATCTAGAGATTATATAATAATGAAATGATTCTCTTCTATATAAATGGTAAAACAATGCCTATGGATCCCTTTGGAGCAAGCCTACCCATAAAACCTTCACCATTTGGAAAGTCATACAAAAAGCTTACAAGGAAGTAATTAGTTTTTCTTTTGCAACTATTGACTAAATGGAGAAACATTAATTGAAAAATATGGCAACCCAATTAGTAAATGATTTGATTGGATAGTAATTTTTCTATTAAGGACCTTAAAAAATGCATCCTTGCGTGAGACTTCTTTCACTTATTTTGCTTTTTTATCTCAGGCACTTTACTAGACGATAATATACAAAACTACAACAAGCCTTTATCTCACTACGTGTGATTGACTACATGGATCCTTTTTCTCCATTGTGTCTGGTTAAGAGTCAAAATCTCATTTAGATCTAATAAAGAAAGGCCATTTCTAATACTTTCTAATCAAGTCCTTTTAAGTCTAACTCTATATTTTTAAATATAGGCCAAATCTAATACATTTACTCTCCTAACTAGGTCATCGAAAGACTGATATTTTATGTGGTAAACCATCTAAATGACTCTATGTAATTTTATCCGCAATAATATATCTTATAAAATCACCAAAAATTGGCTTTTGGTTGTGCATACTCATGCATACAATTTATGATTTGAATATAAACTTTAAGGGGCTATTTGGTAGCACCAAGGATTTGATTTAAGTAGGATTTTGTAATCCTCTAAATCTGGATTTCAAAAATCTTGAGGGGCCTAAATCATGAAAACTGTTTGGTAACATTTATGATAAATCCTATTAAATCCCTTGTGGCCGTTTAACTATAGAGCGGATTTAACGAGAAGACTCTTCCTAATAAATCTGACAAAAAACATGATTTCAGAAATCCAAAATTTAGCACAAAAAAGAGGGAATTTTCGTCTACAACAGCTTTCATTTGCTGTGAGATTTGGTTTTGCATTTTAGGCCGTTTGGCTGGATTTTGCTCAAATCCTGCTACCAGATAGTTGATACCACACAACTCTCTTTGGCCTATTAGTTGAGAGCTTAGGCTTCCAACTAAGAGATCTAGGATTCGAGTCTATGTGCATGCGTTGTGTGTGTGAATTTGCCTTAAATGACCTAAATGTCAAAAAAAAAAAAAAAAAGAAAAAAGACAGCTGATACCTAAAATCTATTTTGTAATTCAGTTGAAACATAAAAAGTAGTCTTTGAATGATGAGGTTCCACAGTGCATTAAACAGCTATATTTTATCCGACTTTCATTTTAGTCCATTACATTTATTATGCCCCCCATTACATTTTCCTGATGAATCGTATCCATATTTCCCGCCGCCCACTTCTCAAAGGCTGCACGCGCTGTGAAGGAACCAGCGGGGACGACGACCCAATCCCATCCCTCCCCGTTCTCCACCTCCATGAAGATGGACTTCGATGAAGACGATCTTTCATCCTTCACAGATCTCGACGATAATGGCTTCCCCGTTTCGTCATCGGTGGATGAGGAAAGCCGCGGTGAAGAAGTTGAAGGGGGAATGAGCTTACCGGTCGGTGATGTCTGCTCGAGTACCAGCGATTTCGCTATCGATTTCTATCTGAGTGGAACGAATTGGTCAGAGCTGGTACGGGATGAGGGCGACGAGGTCCCGAAGAACGGGGAGAAGGTGAAGAAGGCCCTCGTCCAGCGGGATCTCTTCCAAGTTTGGGGGATCAGTAAATCTTCGAAAAGGCCGGGGATTAGCATCCCCTCGACACCGAAGAAGAGGCAACGGAGTGTCATTGATGATTTTGCGTCTGGTAGTGCTTTGGTCGGAGAAAGGAAGGGCGAGTGTAATGGGCGTAATCGACCCCGTTCCTGTCCGTTCTATAAGAAGATTCCAGGTCAGAGTTTTTTGCTAAGCTATTTTTCTATTCTGACGGGGGACACCTTTGAAATCAAAGGATTTTTTCTTCACTGTGTTGGGAGATGATAATTGTTCTTGTGCAATTATTTTTCCTATTTATTGTTTGTTGTTGCCGCTGTAGGATAATTCCACAAAGCATAAGAGTAGTTTTTTGGGAAATCCGAACTTACATGCAAAAAAGAGCGTGGTTTTACTACTGGAAAAACATCCAATAGGGGAAAAAAAAAAAATCATTGGGCTGCCTAATTGCAAAGATCTACTAGTTGTTAAAATCTTTACAGATATGATCCACTAACGGTATCTTTCTTTTTACAAAGTGTATTGTAAAAGAAAAAAAAAGTTCCTTTTTTTAGTTCAAGATGGCGATACATATTGGCGTACTCAGATAATTGGTCAGCTATCAGTTGGATATTCAGAAATGATGGTTGGAGACCGTTCTGCTCTCCATATTTCTTTTTTAGCGATGTTATCTTAATAATGTCCTTTAGTTCTTTGAGTAATTCAAGGGTTTTGTATTGGCCACGCGAACATTTTTAGTTGTTGCAGTAGCGTCCTTATCGTTGAGCTTTGTTTTTTTTTCCCATCACCCTGTTTATTGCCTCATTATTTAATAGATCGAAATGAAACATTCAAATTTACATTGTGGAAGAATGATTGTCATTGAGCTGAGTGGCTGTCGTTGGTAGACTGAATCGAGTTATAACATATAGATGTCTGATGCCCATTTAGAGCCAGGAACTTGTTATGTGTGGAATTTGATTGTGTTGATCAGTCGGGTTATTTTGTTGCCTCAAAACTCAAGTTTGTCATACTTGCCAGGGGTGCGGGGGGTTTACCCTTGCTTTGGTTTGTGTGCTTTAACTCACCTAATTTTTTTGTTCGGCGCCCTGACGCTGTGTACCTAAGCGCCCCGGCGCTATGTACCCAAGCGCCCCGGCGCTATGTACCTGAGCGTCCCGACACTATGTCCTGAGCGCCCCAAAGCTGAACGATAGAGAGTGGAGCGTCGCAGCGGTCTAGATATGACGCCGCAGCTGATCAAGACCGAGGTTTATGCGCCGTAGCGCCCCAAACTGGACGGATTGGATGGTTTTCTTTCACATTTTTTATTTTTCTAAAGGGTTACATTCCTTGGGGTTATTTACTTGGCTTTCTCTTGTATTTTTGTAGGGTTAGACATTGAGAACGGTGTATGTGAGAAGAGAATCAAAAAGTGTGATGCACCAGAATCTAATTTGAAAGAATTATTTTTTTATCTTTTAATTTAGAACAACCAGAACTATCTAATAATATTTATCAGTAATAAACAACAGAAACAAATTCTATAATTCAAAACATCAATGTATACATATGCATTCATTTCAAAAAAAAAAAAATCATATACACTACTCAGGATTTATATAACTGCACAACAGCTACACTTTCATAAGTATAAAAGAATAACTAAAATTAGAAAATAAACATAATTTGAGGAATTCTAATCAATTTCACACTTCTGATCGTCTGTCATGACTTAAAAATATTTAATCATATATATGGAGCTCACATGTCACGACCTGGCCCGGCTAGCCCGAAATAAAGGGGTGGGAACAATCAGTTGTACGTAAAAGTACATATAACATAAATCATAACAATTTCATTTACTATTATAACATAACATAAACTTCATCATCATCCATACATAAATAAGAAAGAGCCACTAAAACATCAAACTGAAAGTGTTCCAAATTGTTTCTTCTAAACCTCAACAACTAAAAACATAAACATCAATATAAACTACAACAGACTCCTTAAGTTCTATCCATTGACTCGATACAGTTAACAGAAAATATAAAACCTTTATTCCTGAGGTCATCTACGACAGTAAGTGTACTGTCGTCTCGCTGACCTCACTTCCCAGATGGTTTTCCTAAAAAAGATTCCCACAAGCATGGGTGAGCTTACTCGCTCAGCAGGTAATTCATATTCTCATAAAAATTTACATAAAACCAAAATAAAACATCCTTTTTATAAGAAAGCTTTAAACGACAGTCAATCTTGCATAAATTCATAACCCTTCTATATACGAATTTTTTTCATAATATTTCCTCAATCATAAATCTTCATTTAACCTTTCCTCAAATATTAATTTCCATATTGCATAGAAAACATATATAAATCACATTATGTATAATGTTTACTATATCACCGATCTCGGAGGTGCCCATTGAGTTTTGTACTGATCAGGAACACATTTTCATATCATTTGGCCATTTCTTTACCATTGGCTCTAACGAGTCCCTTTACCATTTGACTCTTTCGAGCCCATTTACCATTTGGCTCTTTCGAGCCCCTTTATCATTTGGGCACTCCACATCAACATGCATAGTATCATATCATAATTTATAATCTATGTTCAGTCAATCATATGCGTAATGAAAAATAATTGTGATTCAAAAATCATTAGCTCAAAATATGAGAATAACGAATAACATGTAAGTCTAACTATCTATTGCAATATAAAAATATTATACTAATATGCCATTTAAAAAATATAATTCATAAATTATTTATAAATTCTTTGAACGTTAAAACCTTAAACATTTGAAATTGCATAAAAAAGAAGGCAAAATAATACAAGAAATTTTTATAATAAATATGAGAACTTACTTTAATCTAAGTACAACACTTCCTCAAAGTATCGCTTTGACACACCTCGTTCACCTTAAAGATCATAACCTAATAATCACATAAAAAGATGTGTCACAAATAAATCTTCCTTAAGGTTTAATCAAATTCTTAATTGTCTAAACTCTTCGTTTCTCAATATTTGTTCCTTACAACACTTAATGAAATTAAAAATAATTTAATCTTAATTTTTGGATTTATTAAAATCTTTAATTTTTGAGAATCCTAAATCCTTAATTTCACTCAAATCAATACGCCAAAATTATCCCTAAATATATTTTAATAATTACCTTAATTATTTTAGGATTTAATTAATTAGAAAAATTATGAAAATGAAAATTTCTTAAGAAAACTAAAAAATTTGTTTTAAAAACATTCCTAAGACCCTTAGATATTATTTTTGTAAAAGCACCTTATAGAAATTCAATTTTAAGTAAAAACTCTAATTTTTTATTTCCAAAAATTCTCAAAGAAACATTCGTTTCTACCTTTAAAACACTTCCCTAATCCTTCCCTATTTATTTTGTAAAGAAGTTTTGGAAGAAACTAATATTTTGGAAAAATCTTAATATTTTCATTTTCAAAAATCTTGAGATTGAGAGGGATTCGCTTCAAATAAAATATACCTTAGTATTCCCTTTGTTGTCATCTTCGATTTCCACTAATTTCCTTGCCGGAAAAACGTCGCTGGAGCCACCCCGCCGCTCTTGCCTGATGCCTCACTCGTCCGCTCTCCTCCTCTCGGTTTCTCTCGGCCAAAACTTATGAATGGGGGATTAGGGGGTTCGATTTTGATATATTAGGGAGAAAGGGGATTGCCAAAATGACTGTTATACCCTTAAAACAATTCTGGCATTTTATTTTCTTAGGGGTAGTTTGGGTATATCTAAATTTGTAAATTTTATAACTCTCAAAATACACAAAATTACATATAAGTTTTATAAATCAAATCTTTCAGAACTTTACGTAGAAATTTATAAAATTACTTCCGTCGAAATTCGTCAACTTAAGAATTTCACTTAAATTTCGCCGCGACGCATCGAAATGCGTGCGACGCCTACGATCGTCCTAATTTCGGGTTTTACAAATCTCCCCTCCTAATAAAAATTTCATTCTCGAAATTTAGAAACAATAATAAATTAAAGCCATACCTTAGCCAAATAAATAAGGGTGGTTCTCCATCATTTCCAACTCCTCCCAGGTGACATCTTTTTCTGAACTGTGCCTCCATAACATCCTAACATAAGAGATTTCTCTGTTTCTCAACTGCTTAACATCATAATCAATAGTTCTCTCAGGTTCTTCCACAAAGGTCAAATCTGGTTGAATATCCACCACTTCAGTACTAATCTTTTGGGCTTCATCTAAAATATATTTCCTTAAAGAGGAAATATGAAACACATTATGCACTCCACCCATGTGTGCTGGTAGAATCAACCTATAGACCCACTTTTTCAATTCTTTCTGTAATCTCAAAAGGGCCTACATATCTTGGATTTAGCTTTCCTGCTTTGCCAAACCTCTTCACTCTCTTCATCAGACTGACTTTAAGGAAAACAAACTCTCCCACCTCAAATTCAACTGGTCGGTGTTTGACATCATAATATTTCTTCTGTCTATCCCGTACTTCCTTAAATCTGTCATGGATCAATCTGATCTTTTTTGTAGCATCATCAACTAGATCAGCACCAATAATCTTTCTTTCCCTTGTCCCAATCCAACGTAAAGGTGTCGTACACATTCTCCCATACAAAGTCTCATAAGGAGCCATACCAATACTAGCTTTAAAGGCCCTAATGTAGCCATACCAATAGAGAAAGGAGTAATATGCATGTCAGCAATCAAATCATAAAAGTAATATTCACATGATCATAGGGCAATACAATAGAGAAATTAGTAAACCGGTACAAGTGTTGAATTACCAAAGAAATTATCGTATCAATACTTCAATCAGTTGAGAAATAATATAAAACATCAAATCAAAACATTGATAAATATTGTCGAAATTATATAAAAATAACTGTATTCGTGTATCACATGCTAAAAAATATCATATCAGTGTCCAATGCACATGCTCAATATCATGTGATCAACACATTAATAATAGTAGAATAGTAGTAACATCAACTTCATAGGTAGAAGTAATAGTAAAGTCATATAGTGGTAGTGGTTCAGTAGCATACATTCTAATAATCATATTAAACAAGTAAATGCCCTTGCTATAACAGTGTTTTTTCAATATCAGTAACTCGTTGGGTTAGTAAATAGAATCATCACTTTTTGTCCATCGGCTTAGTAATAACTCTCAAT